TCATCTATACTATAAAGAGGTGTTCTAAACATGTTCTAAATATCATATCGTCATCCATCAGATATTCTATAAGAACATGAGTTATAGGAAAAATAGTAATAATTCAAACTAGCCTCAGTAAGCATGTTATCTCGTAAAACGTTTCATAAAACATAATCATCAAATCATGCTTTTCATGTATGCATTTATACTATCAAAACATGCATTTTTAGAAGGGGTCCACTCACAGTACTTTGCCGTCGAAAGGCCACGCCACTAGCGAAGACGAAAACGCCACAGATAAACGCCCCTAAGCACATAAAGGGTACATTTAGTCAAACTCTACTCAAATGACTGAATTTGGGAAAACGGACATTGGAAACGGGTTCAGGACGTCGAAATTAACCTAGGAGGGGTCCCGCACGAAAACCCAAAAAGTCAACGGTCAAATCAACGTTGACCGTTAACCGGTCAAAGTCAACGTTGACCGTTAACCGGTCAAAGTCAAAGTCAACGCTGACCGTTGACCGGGTCAACAGTCAAACCGGGTCTGGGTTAACAGGTCAAACGGGTCTGGGCTTGGATCCGGATTGGGTTAAAGGGTTTGGACTTGGGTTGGATCCGGGTTTGGGCCTAAGGGTTTGGTCTAATGGGTTTAGGGTTAACGGGCCGAAGGCCCTACAAAACAAAAATAAAATAAATAAAAAGGTTGGGTTGGGCTGCCCAGGGTTTTGGGCTTGGCAAGAAAGGCCCAAAGGCCTTGGTTCGCCGGATTCCAAGGAAGGAGAAGGCCGGTTTTCGGCCGGAGAATTCCCAAGCTCCGATGGAGCTCAAAACTCAACCAAAACATGTCATTCAATATACCAAATTGAAGCCCCGAAGGTAAGGAATAGAAATATACCCTTGGTTACCGTCATCGTGGCCAGAGTTGGCCGGAAAACAGCCTGGAAGCCACGGGTGTCCGCCGGAAACTGGGTAAGATTCAAATGAGCATAACTTCATCAATACTCAATGAAATTGGGTGAAACAAAAAGGAAAGTTGTAGTACTCAGCGAGATAAAGAGATTGATACCTTGCACGCCACCCAACTCGCCGTGGTTTGGCCGGAAATTGCCTCGAAAGGGGCGGTGCTCACCGAAAAACTGGGGAAATGTCTCCGAGATGGTTTCTTCATGGTTTGACGTCCAAAACACAACCACGGGGTTAGAAAAGAATTATAGGTGTGGGCATGGGTGTGTGTGTGTGTGTGTTCTTGTCGGAGAAAAGAGCACCGAGAGGGGGGGAAAGGAGAGAGCACGGTAGAGAAGAGAGAGTGAGGGAGAAGAGAGAGACTTTTCAGAAAAAAATAAAAGAAAAGGGAAAGGGAAAGGAACCGAGAAACAAAATAGGGGGTGGCCCCTTGGGCTCACCAATTAAGACTCAAAAATAATTTTAAAAAAGAAAGTATCCCCAAACTTAGGGAAAATACAAAAAGACCCATTTTCTTCTGTAAATCCCGGGACGGATTGTTACACAACACCTCGTTTTCTCTTCTTTTCAAACCACTTTGTTTTGTGATAAGATCGAAGAAACAGTACGACTTTCACCTGCAGAGAAATACAGTTACGACCATCCTTTCAATAGAGAAATTACGGACCAAGTAATTAATTTTCAGGATAATCGCTTAAATTAATATACTCAATAATATAAAAAGCTAGCTGCTATAGCTCTTTACTCGTAGATGACGTTTAGCAGAAAGCAATGATACCTATGCACTCTTATACGCATTCAATCCCCACTCATCTTCCTCCTTAACAACTAACAATTTATCCATCTAATGCTATCGATTGTCTAAAGAAAAAAATTTAGTTTACTTTTTTCATGGGATAATGCCACACGCTGGCCTTTCATTGGCTGGGTGGCTAAAGTTTGACATTGAAGCCTTTCATGATTGTGACGACCACAGCTTATCTGGTTATCGAGTCATCGTCCTATTGGTAATAAGTTTTCAATTAAATAACTAATCATCGTAATTAGGTCGGTTGGAATGATAAGCTACTCACCCCCAATGGTTTGGGTGTCCTACTGATGTAAACGTTCACTAAGCGAAGGTGCTCTAATAAACCTAATAATTTTGTAACCATATATGTTAAAAAAAAAATATATATATATATATATATATATATATATATATATTAGACCTTATCAATTAAATCCCAATTGATATTTTCCTTTCTTGAAGCTCATTTTAAAAAAAAAAATCACTCAAATCATAAATCATACTAGGAGAGAGCACACTTTGTATGTGTGTGTGAACAATTTCTCTTAATAAGTGCATATTTTTTTAATATTACATAATTACTGTTTTATCCTCCTTATGTAAATATTGTGTATCAAAAGTAAGGGTAAAATTGGAAAAATATGATTGTCATTAGCTCAAAAAAAAAGAGGGTAAAATAGGAAAAATAGGGATATGATTGTCATTTTGTCAAAAGGTACAAAATTACTATTTTACCTTTTTTGTCAATAGTGTGTATCAAAAGTGAGGGCAAAATAGGAAAAAAGTTGACAATGAGGGTTTTCTTAATAATAGTATAGATGAGTGTTAGATTAAATGATGGTCATTTTAGTATTTTTCTTGTTTTTAGACACCTTATTCGCTTATTTTGTTCACTACAATTGTAATGTTTTAATAATTTTTTTTTTCTTTTGAACAAATGTTTTAATAATTTTAGATGGCCTAATTTTTTTGTAAAGATATATATATATATATATATATATATAAAGTTAAAATATAGACCATTTGGATCATTAAAAAATATTACGATATAAACAAAAGTATATAATCTGTTTGGATTATTGGATAATGTTACAAAATGAACTCCACAAAGATGTCTCTAATATTTTTCTGAATAGAAGGGGACTGATCTTAACTACGTCATGGTCTTTGTTTCCATTTCATGATAAATGGTTATTTATTTAAGATAAACTTACCAAAGAACCAAAGAAAACAACACAATCCAATTTCTTACCTACCTTTGTAAAGGAAGGTCATGAAACCGGAGTAAGATTCTCTTTTTTTTTTTAATCTTTTTTTCCTTCCCTCTCTTCTAATATAAATTGTTACAATTAAATCACGTAAGTATCTTGTTCTGAATATATTAAAAAAAAGAGTAGTGTTACATTTATCATCTATTTATATTATTATTTATCACATCTTTCTAATAGAAGTAGGATTTACTAACACATGTAGATTGCGTCTCTATTAGACAAATACTACAAATAATGTTACAAATAAATGTAAAAATAACATTTTCATAAAAAAAGACAAAAATATAGTGTAGGGAGAGGGAGAGAAATGGACGGTAATAAGAGGGATTCGAGTGAGAGACTCCCATGAAAACACCACAAAATTTATCCAACGGACAGGGCACTTTTGAGCCTTTGAATCTAACGCTTGTTCACCTTACCGACCTTGGAAAGGTCCCATGGTGGGCCCATTTGAATCGAGTTGCAGCAGGACCTATCGCGCCCCGACCTTCGAAACAAAAGCAAGCGGTGTACGCTAACCAACTAAAACGAAAATTCCAAACCTATCAACTAACCATGATGAACAATACAACACCGTTATGGCAACGGCGTTAGAGGACCTTATCGTATGAGTCGCGGAATCCGAGGTAAGGGGGACCCGCCAGATCGCGGAAGCCACATGTTGGGACCAGCGTTTGCCAAGTGTGTCAAGCTCACACTAGGAGCTCACCACGTCGACTCTCCATATATTACCTGGTGGAGCGCACCTCATTTTGTTTGCATTGGTGCCGGGACCCACATGAATTTTTTTAATACCGTGGGGTCCATGGAAATTAACTAACAGCTGTCAGGTCTTTGTGAGTCTCGGATAAGCGGTCAGTGAAAATTCTGTTATGTCGTTTTGGTTTTTGTTGCTTTGTTACCGCGGGTTTTGGTTTTTACCGCTAAACAAGTAATTCAATTTCTCCGACTCAGTTTTTTCATTTTCTTTCATCTTTTAAAATTTGATTTTTTAACCATTAGATTTAAAAAACTAAAAGAAACTGAGGACAATAATTGAGAAAGATTAACAGTAATCCCTTAGTACTACGGCATTGATATTTTCTTCACTTGTGAAAATAAATTTATGTTTGAACATCTTAAATAAAGAAGTACGTTGTAGCAATTGTCCTTCAACTTTAATCAAATTAGAGCAATGGTACATCAACTAAAAATCTATTACTATTGGTCCCTCAAATCATCAAAATGTGTAGTTATGGTCATTTTCATAAATCTTGTTAGAATTTTGTCAAAATAAGTTATGATTGAATGACCATTGCTACAATTGGAGTCCCTCAACTCATCAAAACGTGTAGCTATGGTCATTTTTATCAACTTCGTTAGAATTTTGTCAAAATGAGTTATGTTGGAAGAACCATTGCTACAATTTGGTTAAAGTTTGGGGGACCATTGCTCTAATTGGGTTAAAGTTAAGGATTCATTTCTCCAGTTGGATTAAAGTTGAGGAACCAATGGTAATGGATTTTTAATTGAAGGACCATACTTACATATTTTTATGAGTTAAGGGATCAATGGTAATGAATTTTTAGTTGAATGATCATTACTCCAATTAAGTTAAAGTTAAGAGATCGTTGCTATAATTTACTCTAAATAAAGAGTTCACAATTAATTTATTTTTCATCCTTAATGTAGTTATATCGTTACTAAAAGAATTTATAAAAGATGAATGTCTTGAATTGCTGATAATAAATTAGTTTTCCATTCATTCCATATTTAAATTTTAACAAAAGATGTTATTTTCGCTTTAAAAAGGAAATTTTATGAGAAAATCTTCGTTTTAAATCAAATCAATGATCGTTCGCATTCATATTTCATAATAACATATGCAATAATAATTACCAAAAAAAAAAAAAAATCAAATATAATTAAAATGGGAAATAGATTCTCCATTTATGTCGGTAATTAATCCACCGGTTGTCACTTTCCAGTAATCTCTCTCTCTCTCTCTCTCTAGCCAAAGTCTATAAGTAGAGCACCGTAGGCGAGCGTTTTCTTTCACCCACCCTAAAATAGACGCTCACTTTTTCTGTTTGTTTCTTGGGAAAATTCTACACACTGTTTTTCTCAACCCGCCAGCTGAATTCCCGCCCCCGGAAAATAGTTCCAGGTGAAAATTCCTTCGCTACTTCTCCCACTTTGGGTTTCGATTTAATGGCCAATGTGAATTTCGGTTAATCCCTGAGTTTTTCCGCAGTCGAAAATGGCGCAGTTTCAGAACGACGAGCTGGAGTACGTCGTCGACGACTACTTCGACATCGCCGACTTCGAAGACACCGACGCTTTTGCCGGTAACCAGCTACGGGGAAGCTACGGCGCCTACTCGGACTTTGACGACGACGACTTCGCTGAGGTCGCTGCACTGTTACTTTCGTGTGTCGAATTTTGGATTTTTGTTTTTTTTTAGAAGAATTTTTTAATAATTGGGGTTTTTTTGCAGAGCAAGGTGAAGACTGATACTTCGGCAATGGAAGCTCGAAATGGGAAGGACATACAGGGGATTCCGTGGGAGAGGCTTAACTTCACCAGAGATAGGTACCGTGAGACCCGATTGAAGCAGTACAAGAACTACGAAAGCCTCTCTCTGCCTCGCCAGGACCTCGAAAAGGTGTCCATTTTATACCCTTTTCACTTTGTTTTTGTGGAGTCTGCATATGTGCACTGTTTTAATACGATTTAGAAATGGTTGACTGGCCTTAGGATTTGATTGCCGGTCTGCACCGGGCGTAACCAAGTTGGCTAAAGCCTTGTTGGTCTTAAAGGCTACATCTTTATGTTTTTGCCATACGTTCTGATTAATGGGCTTTAGAATTGCATTGCTGGTGCAGATCGGCGGTACCAAGTTGGCTAGATTAGCGTGCTTCTTGTATTAGATTAATATCGCTCGGATATATATCGAAAAGTGCCTTGTTGGTCTTAAAGAATTCATCTTTACTTATGTTTTGATGCTTCCCTTCATGTTTGTTATGTAATTCTTAAGAGGGGTGATTTTAGGGCTGCCCCAGATTCGTTTTCTTTGTTTGTAACTTGTTTGTAAATCTTCTGCCTTGACAGGAGTGCTTGCCAGTAGAGATGGGGAAGACCTTCTATGACTTTCACTACAATACAAGGATTGTCAAGTCCACAATTGTGCATTTCCAGGTAGAAATTTTGTTCTTGCTTCTCTAAATTATTTGGAAAATGTTTTACAAGAAATTTGTTTGTGAGTTTATTGGATGCCAGAAACATAAGAGTCTGTTGTTGTTGAGTTTGTTTAATTTGTCAATCCCCTTGTTTTTCTTTTTTTCAAAACTTCATCCACTTGTACTGTTGTAACATTTGCATAACTTTCACCTTCGTACTCAGTTCGCAATCATATGCATATAAATATTCATCCTTTCATGTAGTTCATTCGTTTTTCTTAGGGTATTGTTCATCAAGATAATTTACCCATTTTTTCACTGATCATAGATGGCGTGTCATGTTCATAAAGCTTATGTTATGTTTGAACTTTGTGCCTTGCTGCTAGATATAAGCTTCTGTTGGTAGTTTTGCAGGTCTTATAAAAATATGTTTTATGCTTTATGAAGGGTGTCTTATTTTATGATTGTGGTTATGTCCCTCAACCATTCACAGGAAGGTATGGAGTTCATAATGGTTCTCTCTTTGTTGGCCTGTATTGTAGTTCGTGTGTATTATTGAGAAGTAAATTGTAATAATGAACTTATTTGCCTAACCTATAGTTAATTAAGGTTCCCAATTAGACTGTGGACAATAGGCGGCTGTCTTGTCACAAATTTGCTGCATTTTTGCATTTACGGGTGTCATAGATTTTCTCATTAGGCAGCCACTAGAATTGAAATTAGTTGTATTTTACCGGTTTTAACTTTTGGTAGTAAAGGAGTTAGAATAATAGTAAATCAATAACTAAACCTTAACGAAGTGTGCATTTGTGTAAGATTAAGAGTAGTCGTGAACACCTGAACTTATAAGTCGCATACATCTTGGGGCTTGTGCTTGAGCTTTAGATAAACTAGACCTCTTACATTGTTGGATCTTACCATAGTTAACCCTGGGTTACACATAATATTCAAATATTTTTTAATAAGTTCACTTTTGTACCTTCTGAATTTTTCAGCATGCCATTTCTTTTGCATATCGCAGTCATTATTACTTTTGAATGTTGTCACTGGTCCTTGCATTTTGATTTGTGGTTTGTGGTGGTAAATATATTGCTTCTGTTGACTGTTGACTATAATATGTAACTTTAACCCATCTGTTGCATTTAGGATTGCTATTTCTCTCTTTATTTCAGCTTTTACAGCAGGGTGGAAGTTAGAGCTGCTGGCGCGACATTGTTAATATGGTATGGTAGGAAAATATTTGAGCACTAAGAGGCCTCTTAATAAGTCAATGTGTTCTGTTCATGAGGGGCCCGACTAACACAGTTCTTGCTTTCTTAGACTTCAAATTTTCCCTAGAATTTTGTAGGCATCCGGGGACTTCAAATTTGCACATCTTTTATATAGTTCTTTAACTCTCATCCGAAGTATATGTTGTGGTTACATACTATCTGCTCATACTCCTCTAGATATTTGTTCATGATAATTTGGATTGGTACTTTTCAAGCAAAGAGACTTTGCGTCTTTTTGTGACCTTGAAATGCCATTGGATTGGTCATGATCATTTTGTTGTTCAGCCCTATTTTGTGCACGTGTCTTTGCTTTGAACATCGAACAGCGGTCATTTTGTTCCATTTACATGTGCTTTATTCCTGGTTGGATGCATTTGTCTTGTATTGATGCATTATCATTTTAATCTCCATATTTATGTGCCTAATGATGTGGATAGATGTAGTCTTACTCTTAGCTAAGTGGAATACTGAACAAATTCCTTTGTCACATGTCTAAAGAAAATGCATAACATAAATATCTCCTCGTCACTTCAGGGCACTATAGTCAACTTTTTCATTCCTTGTGCATCCAATTTTTCATAAAATCCTCTTGTAACGGTCTGCAACGAAACGTTATTCATTTTGGATTTCTTGGTTGGTGGTTTGTCAGGTCCATGAAAAGTAACAACTGCATTGCATGGTTTTTATATACTGGTCACTGTCCTTAATGATTTTGGTTTTATACTTCTCTATTGTCTTATGGCTGGTTAAAACTTTTGCATATCTGTCGTAGTGTTTTAACTGTTAGTTCACATCTGGCATAAACAGACATAATTGTTGTGATGATCATATCTGGTTTTTTTGAATTGTTGAATGTTGTTACTAAGGTGCCCGTCAACTTGGTTTGCTTCTCCCTGTGCAGCTGAGGAATCTCTTATGGGCCACATCAAAGCACGATGTATACATTATGCAGAACTTTTCAGTAATGCATTGGTCTTCCCTACTCAGGAGAGGCAAAGAAGTATTGAACGTATCAAAACCTGTTGTCCCTATTGAGGTATGTAAAGACCTGATTGATGAAATCAGGTTTGTTGAAATCCTGGCTAAAAGACCAGTCTGATTTTGAGTTGGTACATTCTTTCAGAAACGACCTGGGTTGTTGGTTCGTCCACTCTCTAGAGTGCAAATAAGCACTATGGCTGTGAAGGAAAATTTATTGGTTGCTGGGGGATTCCAAGGTGAACTAATCTGCAAGGTATTGCTCAAATACATGTTCCTTTGTGACTACTGAATCCATCATAGCCATTGTCTCTCTATTCTAACGTCTTTTCGTCTATGTGCCCAGCACATTAATCAACCTGGAGTTGCTTTCTGCTCAAAATTAACGACAGATGACAATGCCATCACAAACGCAGTGGACATTTTCCAAAACCCTTCGTAAGTCATCTGCCTTTAACTGAAGTAGGTTGCTTCACTTGAAGACCTTTTACTGAACTTTCTTTCTGCAGTGGCTCAATGAGGGTAATGACTGCAAACAATGATGCTCAAGTTAGAGTTTTTGATGTCCAAAATTTCACTTGCCTCACTCGCTTCTCGTTTGATTGGTCCGTGAATGTGAGTACCCTCTACTGAAACCGTTACGAGTGATTTGCCATTTTTATATGTCTCGTCTTAGATTTTCCTGTTTATGGTTCTTGGCAGAACACCTCTGTCAGTCCAGATGGTAAGCTAGTTGCAATACTCGGAGATAGTGCGGACTGCTTGATTGCTGATGCTCAGTCTGGAAAAGTAAGTAGCATTATTGTGGTGCAGCGTGTATATTTCGTTTATGCAAATCCTATGCAAAGATCTGATGATTTACCTACCTACTTGGCATAACTTGGCATAGGCTGTTGGAAGCCTCAAAGGTCATTTGGATTATTGCTTTTCCTCAGCATGGCATCCGAATGGACAAGTTTTGGCTACCGGGAATCAAGACACCACTTGCAGGTTATGGGACATAAGGAACCTCTCAGAGTCGCTAGCCGTGTTGAAGGGAAGAATGGGAGCAATACGGGCCATAAAGTTCACTTCAGATGGTCGGTTTATGGCCATGGCTGAGCCGGCAGACTTTGTTCACATCCTTGACACTCAGTCTGGGTATATGAAGGAACAAGAGATTGACCTGTTTGGTGAAATCGCCGGAATATCGTTTAGCCCCGACACAGAAGCTCTGTTTGTTGGGGTCGCTGATCGGACGTATGGTAGCGTGTTAGAGTTCAACAAGAGGCATCATAACCGATATCTCGAAGCAGTCTTCTAGTACAGTGCCTCCATATTCATACCCTCATGTCTCTACTGCAAATACTCTACACACACACACACACATATATATAGGTTATGGCGTTTTGGGTGGTTTTTTCTGTGAAGGTGTTCTTTGAGCAAGCAGAAAGGGAAGAAAATTTGAACTTTTTGGTTTTGTAAAGCACATTTCAGTCTCAAGTATGTATATTTATAAACAGCTCGTTTGTTCAATCTTTCGTTCTTATAAATTCTTGGGCGACTGATCTCAAGTGTTGTTGTATATGTTTTCGTTTTCGGTTATATGAGAGCAAGGCCAAAGAGAAAGAAGTTACTCGTTTGATAACCATTTCGTTTTTATTTTTCAGTTTTTGTTCGCTTTTATTTGAAAGTAGAAAACCCTTTTGATGACCAAAATGCGAAAATAACTTTCTTGAGTTTTTAAAATTTGTGTTATAGTTTTTATTATTTTTTAAACAAAAAGTAGTTACTAAACAAGTTTTAGTTAAAAACAAAATGGTTAGCTATCTGCTCTAAATTGTCGCTACACAAAAGCGTATCATACATGAGATTTGAATTGAAGTTTCAGTCTTTCTACGGAAGATCACGTTTGGTGCAGAAACTGATGAGAGATGAGTTTGACCAGTTGGAATGTAATATGTATCTTTTGAAATTAAAACTTTGATGAAAGGGACCTGCCTGAGAAAGTTGCGGATGCAGTTGCGTGCAGCTCAATCCAAACATACGTAGACAGTTTTCATTCAAAGTTGCCTCGTCCGTCTCATGCTCGTAAGCTTTTTACAGTGGGCCGAAAATTCTGAGTGTGATCCAGTGGCACGTTTAATAAAAAATCAGTTGTCGGTTTCAAACAAATTTTATGTGAATCGATTTATCTTGAGTAGTAGGTTTGAAAGTGCGCTTTAGTGTATGGACAGTTGGAAGGTAGTTGGATTTTGGAGCGGTTGGTAAGAGTAAAATGGAAGTGGCGTAAAATGTTGAATGAATATATAGTGGATTTAGAAGGTACAATCATACAACTATTGAGCTTCATCTTCCTTTTGTTACAAAAGGATCCAAATGGGCCCGTCTTGAAGTGATTCTGAACAACTTTTGCTCGAAGCACTGCTTTTGTCAGAAGTGATTTTGGTTAAGTAAAAACAGTTCTAGTGCTATAACATATTACTACTTTAAAAATTGTGCATGTAAAACACTTAATAAGTGATTTTGGGTATCTAAAAGCAATTCTAGTCATCCTATATTCCGAAGAAATAATATTTTTTAAAAGGTTTGATCCTTATTCAGAAATAGATAATAAATTCAAACGAAAACTAATGAAAATGGCTTGAAAACTTTGAGTTTTAATGATAAGGACAAAATAAAGGGTAAAGTGAATAGTACCAGGTTTGACTTTTTAGTGTAAAAATATGGTTTTTCGTTAAAGTGAACAATACCGTGGGCTTTTCGTTAAAACTTCGTAAACTCAAAGTATGAAAGACAATTTTGCTTGTCATGTAGGGCTAGAAGTTTTTGTTTGGCGACGAACAGGACTTTCTTGCGGTTCTCTTTTTTAATTATTTATCAATCAAACAATAAATTTTATTAGATTAGCTACTGACGCAATTCGAACCCACGACTGCAAGGACTCAACTCCTTTCATCCAATGTGGTAGGCCACGTTTGGATGTACTTTTAAAATGACTGAGAGCATTTTAAGAGAAATGTATTGGGGTTCCAAAAGCACTTGAAGTGCTTTCTATAAGAAACACCAGTTATGTGCTTCTTCTAGGAAGTATTTTAAGTGCTTTTCTAGGATTTACTAGCATGTTTACTAAGGATTGTTTCCAAAAATATTTTCATCAAAAACGTTTATAATCATTTTAAAAGCACTTCCAAACGAACTCATAAATAGCCACGTGCCTTTCTTGCGGTTCTGTGGAGCAGTAGAGACATCATAATATGGGCCGATGACAATAAACAGAAGCATCCCCAAAGTGGTTTTTATTTTAGTTGGGCCAAAAGTCTGGCCTGATTTTTGGTAAAAGTAAATTGGATTACAAAAGCATAAAAGAAAATATTTATATAAAAAAAAAAAGAACTTTAACGAAAAGTTTATAGTACTGTTCACTTGAACGAAAAATCATATTTTTACACTAAAAAGTCAATCCTGTTACTATTCACTTTACCCTTTATTTTGTTATTTTCGTTAAAACTCAAAGTTTTCAAGCTATTTTCATTAGTTTTCCTTTAAAAAAAATCAAATCAAAAGGATAAAAAGGTGTAGTAAGTGAATAGTACCATGAGTGACTTTTCAGAGTAAAAATGTCATTTTTGTTAAAAGTAAACAGTACTAGGAGTGTTTTGTTAAAACTCCCATGATTTAAACTCAAAATGCAATGTGTTGAGAACTAAGAATAAATTGTAGCAATGGTCCTTTAACGTTAATTCAACTGGAGCAATGGTTCCTCAACTAAAAATTCATTATCATTGATCCCTTAAGTCATCAAAACATGCAATTATGGTCTTTCAACTAAAAATATATTATTATTGGTCCCTCAACTTTAATCCAACTGGCGAAATAATCCCTCAATTTTAACCCAATTGTAGCAATAGTACTTCCAACATAACTCATTTTGACGAAGTTGACGAAAATGACTATAACTACACATTTTGATGAGTTGAGAGACCCAATTATAGCAACAATCCTTCCAAGATAACTTATTTTGACAAAATTCTAACGAAATTGATGAAAATGACTATAACTGCACATTATGATAAGTTGAGGGACCAATGGTAATAGATTTTTAGTTAAGGGACTATGGCTCCAATTTGATTAAAATTAAGGAACGATTATTACAATTTACTTGAGAATCAATGTCCTAACTACTAGAGTTGCAACAATAGATACCAAATAAAACATATGAGAGATGTCGTCAAACTAAACAGGAAAAAAAAATCATGTTTTTAGAATATTGTAGAACATATGATGTGACAATTAATGGATTATCTTAAACTTTCTTTTTTACAATTAAAAACTGAAGTGAAAACCCTAAATGCTGACCCTAGATGCTTGAAGAGAACATGGGTTAGTGGTTTTTTTTTAGCTTCATTAAGTTGATATGTAATGAGTGCTTAGTAAAAAAGTGGACACAAAGGCGAATCCCCTAATCTAAAACAGTATTTAAATATATCCTCGTTAGACAAACCTAAGGGGTAATGTGTCAATTCAAACCTCAAGGGTGTACGCATCAATATTTAATCATGTTCGTTTTTTTTTTTTTAATTTATTCAATATGATGGTCATAAATAAAGAGAAATATGTAAAAAACTTAATGATGTGTGCGTTATCATCTCTCTGTTTTCAAACACATGCAGTGATCCACTTGAGTATGGTACTGAAAAGCACTCAAGTGGTGTATAGTGATCTATTTCAGCAGCACAAATTTATCGTTTGCTACTTGAGTGTGCATAACAACACTCTAGATCTAACGAAAAATTATTGTATGATATTAATAATCTACTCATCACTCATAATGGAAAAAACTATACAAGAAGAAGAATTTTGTTCCGGAAAATGTAACTTGGTAACTTGGTATTCACTCCCTAACTTGTAAGGTCGTGGACAATCTTTATAGAATAATGCCTCTTCAAACTTGCTAGAGCTACCAAACTTGTTCAATGCATAACAATATTTCGTTTATTCAAATTCGGACTAACTATAAATAATTTTATTTTTTTATATAATTTGAAATTTAAGTTATTAATATGTATATGCGATCATATTCTTACATCATTTGATAAACAAATTTAATAATTTAGTACTATATGTTCTCGTGTATTGCATGCCATGCTGGTTTCAAATTTCAAGTCCAAGTAGGGTGAAAGGAAAAATGAAAAAGGAAATAGAGAGAAAAACACGAAGAAAATAGAAGACTTTTGGGGAATTCTGTATGGTCACTTTTAGGTAACATTCCTACCAAGGCACTTAAACTTTTCATAGTATAACATTACTTTTGATAGGTTAATTGGTCATATAATTCATATATTCCAATTTCTTATTATCTTGAATTATATGATAGTGGTTATGAAAAAGCTGAAATGTTTTTGTGACTTTTTCCGACTCTCAAATAAGCTCTAAATTTAAGAATGTTGTGAAAGATAATTTTGCTCGTCACGTACGACTAGAAGTTTTCTGTTTGGCGACTTTCTTGCGGTTATCTGGAGCAGTAGAGAGGGAATAAGATGGGCCGATGGCTTCGAAAAGAAGCGTCGCTAAAGTGGATTTTAATTTAGTTGGGCCAATAGTCTGGCCCCTATTTTTTTTTGTAAAAGCAAATTGGACTATAAAAACATAAAAAGAAAATATTTAAAAACAAATCAAGTCAAGAAGAAAGATTTAAAAGTTAATCTCAGTTTATCATTTTAAAATTTCATGATTTTCAACATTTGATATATAAAATTTTTTTATTTCATAATCATACCTCAAGTTTTAATTTTAAGATAATTTCGTACCTTAGTTAATTTTGGCACAGTTTCGTACTTCTGTTAAATCAGCTGTTAATTGATGACGTAGCACCTATGTAGACAATGACTGAACGTCATGTTTCAACATAAGCCCACGTAAATGTAAAAAAATTAAAAAAATTAAAAATAAAAAATAAAAAAATTGAAAAATTAAACCTAAATCTGGAGTAATTTTTCGGTGTACCCGGTACACCAAAAAAATTTGGTGTACCCTCACTCATAATGGTGAGGGTACACCAAAAAAATTTGGTGCACCCTCACTTTCTGTACACCAAAAAAATTCCAATGAGTGAGGGTACACCAAAAAAATTTGGTGTACCCGGTACACCTAAAAATTTTCCCTAAATCTGAACCCTTCCCTCTCACCCACTTTCCTTCAATTTTTGCCCTTCTGAGCTCAAGTTCGAAGGGTTGCTGCATTTGGGGTCTTTTGAAACAGAGCCCTGAGCTTTCTGAGTATGACTGCCCTGTTTCATGGGTTTCTTCTCTTTCGCGGCGGAGAACGAAATCGACGACCGGAACTTGTGGTTGCTCCTCCGCCCTTCACTCTTACTCCGGTGAAGAAACTCCTTCAGAAAAAACCCCACCTTTTCGAGTTCCTCCCCGCCCACGATGACCGCGACGACGAAGCTGAAACCAAAGGAGTAGTAGGGTGGTGCTCCTCTCCTCCACTCCCTCTTCGTCTTCTTCCCCGTTTTTCGCCGCCCCTTTCGG